CCCCCCCCCCCCCCCTCCGCAGGGGAGAGGGAAAGCTTTTATTCACCTCATCCATTTTTTCAATGTTAGTGTGCAAACAGACATATGCACCCACACATAGATACACATAATCACACACACACACACACACACATATCCCAGGTGAAGTGAAGTAAGGTTTTGAGAAAGAGAATGATGGGGAAAAAAATGAATATTTTATTTCAGCGTTTCTGGAGGTCAGCCAATTATATGAAACCATTAAAAACACATCCAGGCTCTCTAGGATGACGATCAAAGTAAACCAAATATCACATCAGTGCTCAAGAAACATGAGCTGACACTCCATCTAATCCTGCCAATTTCTGTTTTTGTAATAAACTTCCCTTTTAATTCGATCAAGTGGGGAATTAGAGCATTAGCTAAGTTGCAATAAGCCATTTTCTGGGCCTCACCAACAGACTTTCAAGGTTTTTACCTCCCGATTTGTTTAGGATGTTTGACCATTATCAGCATAAATCTTAGGGTTCTCAGGGGTCTCAGAATTCATTTAAGTCCAACATTAAGGCTCAGGAGTTTGTTGAGTTCAGGGAATGGAAAGTCTGATCCATATTATAAAGCAATGAGAAATCTGGAGAGTTTTATAAATAAGGAAAACATCTGTACAGAAGTAACATACATCTGGGTGTACATATGGAGTACTTTTTCTGTTCATAATTATAACTGAATCTATGTTTTGATACTGTGAAATTCAGAGTGAAGTAAATTCTCAGACTGATCTAAAACCTGATGGAAATGGGGTAACTAAGATGAATCAGTTTTTATTTGCTCTTTTAAATAGAAATAAACTCCAAGGACCTTGCTTTAACATGCAGGCTGATTCATACTGACCATGAAGGGTTAGAAGGTTTAAAAAGGGTTAGATTTACCTCAGCCCTCTTTATGTTTTTCTCTCCCAAGATTAAAAATTGCACAAAAGAAAGCCGATAGCCCTCCCTTTTCTCTCTTTCTATGAGTTAGAAGTCAACTTTCTGAAAAAGGAAATCATTTCTACTTGTGGAGGTTCCATGAACTCTATCACTATTGCAGAAGGTGCAGCTATACAAGAGATCCCTTGCTTCAGGCCATATGCCCCTCAGTTCATAGACAGACGCACTAAGAAGAAAGGCACGTAACCAAGAAAGAGCCTGCAAGAGCTCTTAGTACTATGATTTTTAATTACCTGATGGAGAGAATACCTGAAAGGGCCTATTATAAAAGCATAAAACAATGTACATGTAGCATTCCATGCAGGTTCTTGTTTTAGGATAGCCACAGACAATGTTTTCAGCTCTCTACAAAGCTAAGTACATGGTTTTTCTCTCACTGTAACAAAAATGTGATAAAGTGAAGGAAGAGGTGGGCAAGCTAATGTCCTGGAGCCACGGGGCCCTCAGTTTAATTTTAACTATCCTGGGTTAATTTCAAAAGCTCTCTGTACCCATTGAAGCCACCAACATCTGATAAAAGTCCCTTGTCTTTTCCTTGGTGTCTTGACTCTTGGGAGAGAAAAATAAAAATAAAAAATGGGGTTTCAATGAAAGAATGAGAGAGAGAGAATGAAGGGGCCTGTCCACTTTTGAATCTGATACAATCCACCTCTGACATTTCTCTGTTGAGAAGAGGTATCCCTGAAATAATACAAATGCAATTTAGCCAGAAAAAACATTGCTCATACTAGGTTAATCTGTGCACATATTCTGTATGCTTTGAATCCAGCAACCGTATAAAGTCCACCAGCACAAGCTGATAGGCAATGTTAGGGATATGCAACATAGTCAAAATTATTGAAGGCAATATTCATCTGGGCAGCTCCTGAAAGGCACAGTGCATCATTATTTGAATCTTTCTCATGAATAATCCACACTAAGAGTGAAAGAGCAACAATCAAAATGTTAAGGCTCCCAACTGTCAATACTCTCATACCTCATAACTCTATAGTCTGTATCTTGCCCTATATGAAATCTTATGATCTCCTTTCATCTTGGCAGCTTTCAGGACTGGTGGTCAGGTATGAGTCTTGCTATCCTGGCCCAAATAAATACACTAGTAGGCACAAATCCTATCCTGAACCCCCTAGATGGCCCTGTATCTTAAACATTCCTTGGGGCATCTTAAGTACTTCAGTCTTAATATTCTCATCAGCCCACTCTGATGCCCAGAACAGCACCACTGCTGGATGTAGTGTCCTAAGAAATATCAGCTTGCTCATGTGACTGCCACTTGGGCCATACATTTCTGACATACAGTTGCTTCAGGCACACTGGCCAGCACTAACGCTTTTAATCATGTGCCACATGTGGGCAGAATCCACATACTTAAGTGCCTTTCAGTAGCTTCCACTCAGTCTCTTGTCAGTTTTAAATCAGCCGACCAAGCTGGTTCATGTAATATATTTTTATCCCTCCTTATGAACAGCCCTTGCTCTTTTAAAAGGCCTAAGCTGATGAAGAGACAGTGGTGTGACAGTTACAAATGGCATTTCCTCCCCCTGGCAGAGCTGCTTGAAAAGAAAGCGGAATTAATGGGAGTCTAGGAAAATTGAGACACCAGAGCACAATGTTATAAGAAGCCAGGCTGTTCTGGTTCAAGCATGTGTCAGTTGCATTCTTCAGCTCGCTTTTCTCTGAGTCTAGACTTATTTAATTAAGCTAAACAATGCAAGCAGGAATGAAGTTTTGTTATCGGCATTCGCCACAGGAAGCCATTCAGATTGCTTTTAAAATAAGAGTCTTCTCAGTCCACCAGATACTCAGTAATGAAATTATTCTGAGAGGCACTACCCTAAAAAGAGAAAGAAGACATTTCTTCTTAGAGGAATAGATAATATATTTTTTAATGCTTATGTTATTGTTCACTTATTTCGCTAAGTACATTTGCTATGCAGCTTTAATTATGCCACCTATAATCTCTTACATTTTCTTTGACTGGGTCTTCTCCCTCAAGAAAATTATCTGGGAATAGCCTCCTTAGGGAGAGAAAAATATATCCTGTCAAAATTAAATTCTGAAAAAGGAAAGCCACATTTTCCACAATTAAAATATGTTATGTAACTCCTATACTAGTAATCGGTGTAACACTTACCACTATTCATATTCCTTCCACTAAGGCAAATTTGGATAGCTATGTGTATTTTGCTGTACACATTATGATATTAGACTAAATTGGGCAGGTTGCACAGATTTTTGTATAAACGGTTCCACTTTTCATTTGTTATGTACTTGTATCTAAGTACAAGACTTATTTTTCACCCATAACAATCCCATGAGGTAGGTTGGGCTGAGAGAAAGACTAGCCCAAAGTCACCCAGTGAGCTTCCATAGCTGAGGGTGAACTAGAACCTGGGTCTCCTCACTCCAACTCGTACTCCAACTCTACTCTTCTACCCGATTAAATCTGCCTGTTCCACCAGATCCAACAAAAAGGGCACCTTACTGGTTACATTTGGTGAGTCCTAGGCAGCAGGCCTTTTCTGCCATGGTGCCCACTTTATGGAACATCCTCCCCCTTCCCAAACTGAGCCTGGCTCCATCCATATTGACTTTCTGGAAGTCCCTCAAAACCTGGTTGTGCCATCAGGCCTGAGGACCGCAGGGGACTGGTGAGATACTAAGGTGGCTCCATTATTAACATCTACTCTTTACCACATATTTGTTCTTTTGTAGCCTTGTGCTTTTATAGCTTTTTAAAATAATAATAATAATAAT